TTGTATGCACATATGAATAATAAAAGAAAAGAAGACAAAAAAAATTAAAAAAATAAAATATTGGCAAACCAAATTCAACAGCATATCAAAAAGATTATACACTATGATCAAATTGGTTTTATCCCAGTGATGCAGGGATGGTTCAACATATGCAAATCATTAAATGTAATACAGCAAATTAACAGAAGCAAAGACAAAAACCACTTGATCATCTCAATATATGCGGAAAAAGCTGTCAACAAAATTTAACATACTTTCATGATAAAAGCTCTGATGAAATAGGAGTAGAAGAATGTACCTCAACATAATAAAGGCTATATATGACAAGCCTTTAGCCAATATTATACTAAATAGGGAAAACGGAAATCATTTTGTCCAAAGTTAGGAATGAGACAAGGGTGTCTATTCTCCCTGCTCTTATTCAACATAGTCTTGGCATTCCTAGCCAGAGCAATAAGACAGGAAGAAGAAATAAAATGAATACAAATTAGAAAAGAAGAAATCAAACTATCCCTATTTGCAGATGACATGATCTTATACCTAGAAGACCTGGAAAACTCCATAAAAAAAATCCTCCTAGACATCATAAATGGCTTCAGCAAAGTATCAGGATAGATAATCAGTTTACAAAAATCAGTAGACTTTCTATACACCAACAATGAACAGACTGAGAAAGAATATACAAAAACAATTCTATTTGTAATACCTTCAAAAAATGAATAAAATATCTAGGAATAACCTAACAAAGGATGTGACTGACCTCTACAGGGAAAACTATAAACCAGTGAAGAAAAACTCAAAGAAGACTACAGAAGATGGAAAGATCTCCCATGCTCATGGATTGGTAGAATCAGTATTGTGAAAATGGCTTTATTACCAAAAGCAATCTACATGTTCAATGCAGTCCCCATCAAAATTCCAATGATATTCATCACAGAGAATGAAAAATCAAGCCTAAAGTTCATTTGGAAGCACAGAAAGATTGCAAATAGTCAATGCAACACTGAACCAGAAGAGCAATGCTGAAGGTATCACAATATCTGATTTCAAACTATACTACAGAGCCATAGCAATAAAAACAGCATGGTACAGGCACAAAAACAGATATGAAAACCAGTGCAACAGAATAGAAGACCCAGATGTGAATCCATGCAGCTATATCCACCTGATTTTTGACAAAGGTGCCAAAAACATGTGATAGAGAAAAGATAGCCTCTTCAGCAAATATTGCTGGGAAAACAGGATAACTACCTGCAGAAAACTGAAATTAGATTGATGTCTTTCATCTTGTACAAGTACCAACTCAAAGTGGATTAAAGATCTTAATATCAGACCTGAAACTTTGAAGCTAGTACAGGAAAGAGCAGGGAATACACTGGAATTAATAGGACTAGGCAATGAATACAACTCAATAGAACTCAAATAGCTCAGCAACTAAGAGAAAGGACTGACAAAAGGGACTACATGAAATTAAAAAGCTTCTGCACAACAAAAGAAATGGTCACCAAGTTGAAGAGGCTGCCCACAGAAAGGAGTAAAATCTTTGCTAGCTATACATCTAAAAAATGATTAATAATCAGAATATACAGGGAGCTCAAAAACTAAACTCCCAGAAAATCAATGACCTAGAAGAAACAGGCAAATGAAGTGAACACAGCCTTTTCAAAGGACAAGATCTGAATAGCCAAAAAAGCACATGAACAAATGCTCAATATCCCTGGTGTAAAGAAAATACAAATCAAAACCATGTTAAGATTCCACTTCACTCCTATTAGAATGGCTACCATCAAGAATACAAACAACAAAAAATATTGGTGAGGATGTGGGAAAAAGGAACCCTCATACACTGCTGGTGAGAGTGAATATTAGTAAAACCACTATGGAAAACAGTATGGAGGCTCCTCAAAAAACTAAAAAATAGAACTGCCATATGATCCAGCAATTCCACTCCTAGGGACATACCCGAGGGAATGTAAGTCAGGTTACAATAAAGGCACCTGCACACCCATGTTTATTGCAGCATTATTCACAATAGCTAAGCAATGCAAACAGTCAAGATGCCCACTACTGATGAATGGTTTAAGAAAAAGTGGTATTTGTCTACGGTGGAATTTTATTCTGGGAAAAGAAGAATGAAATTTTGTCATTTGCAGGTAAATGGATGGAAATGGAGAACATCATCTTAAGCAAAGTTAGCCAGGTTCAGAAAGCCAAAGGCCACATGTTTTCTCTCATATGTGGACTATGGACCTCATATAAATACAAGCAATATTATGAAAAATAGGTCACACTGAGGGGAGGTCAAATACAAGAGAGGGAGGGTAAAAGAAGGAAGTTAAAAAGGTGACTATGGTTGATGTACTTCCTATACAAGAATGAATATAGAATTTTTAAATCTGCTGAAATCACCAGAAGGAGACTAAGGTAGAAAGGAGAAAAACAGAGCAGATGAACCAATTTGGGCTATAATACATATATACATGGAAATGCCACAAGGACACTCTCTGTAGAGCTATATTAAGCAAACAAAATGTCATTTTTTTTTCTTTTACAAAATCAGAGAACAGGAGTGCAGAATAGGTCCTGTCTGGGGTGTTGGTACCAGTGGGAGGGAAGAGGAGGTGAAGAAAGGGTATAGAAGGGTGAATATGGTACGAATACTGTGTACACATCTGTATAAATTGAAAACTGAGACCTGTTTAAACTATTCCAGGAATGGGAGGAGGAGGAATAAAGGAGACTGATGGAGGGGCTGAATTCAAGCATGACATATTTGATATATTGTAAGAACTTTTGCAAATGCCACAATGTACCCAAAGCACAACAATAAAGAAAAATCTAAGAAAAAATTAAAATAAAACAAGAAAATAACAAAAAAAGAAAAGCCTTGAACCATGAATTTTACCAAACATTTAAACTGTTCCCCCCCAAAAATGTGGTGACTTGAATCACTTCCAAGTTCTCTTCAAGCTTTAAAAGTCCTGTGAGTCTATGAATTTCCTAAAAGAAAAAGTAAGAGATGATGGAAAAATGCACACTTCAAAAAAATAAAAGGTAAACTTCCCAAATACATCAGCACGTATTTCAGTAAATCATTTTCTTTTTTTTTTCTTCTTCCAGTTTTGTGTTTTCTCAACCTAGGCCTAATGCTGAATTGACCTATTTTCCTTAATAAATAGTTTTCAGGGGAAACTTCTTAAGAAGGAAATTAAATGGAAAGTCTAAACTAATCCTAAATGAATAAGTAAGATGAAGCCATGCCATACTGCAATGAGGCCTTTGTGAAAATATGGTCAGAAAATATCTCTGAGACGACCATTTTCTGTCCTATATAATAATTATTTCAGGAGGCACAACTGGTTCCAGATTTCAAAGGATCACTGATGGCACACAAGAACAAAGAAATGACATGAAATGTGTCTTTACGTGTACTTCAGAAGATATTTGAAAAAGAAAAGCACTTGGACTCAATTGGCTTTGATTTGCTGAGGTTCTCTTTGAAGACAGCAGAAAGAAAAGTTGTAATTGCTTCTCTTAGAGAGAGAGAAAGAGAGGAGGATTTGGTCTGATCCTTGCTCCCTGCTACCACTTCATGTATGGAGAAGACATGGTCTGTTACACACTTTTCCCAGAAACCCAGTTTCACCACCAGCACAACTGTGTATAGCACAAGATAAAAGACAGATAAGGCTTGTCTTGTACATTACAGCTTAAGCTAACATACTTTAAAGAAATGGTTTCTAATACAATTCCACATTCACCAGTGCTTCAAGATTTCAAAGCCCAAATTCAGCCAAGGAGAAAATGCCTGCTAAAATAGAAGACTGAAGAACAAAGCAAGTCAATCCCATTAATGCTTTGAAGACTTTTTATAACATACCGAGCCCCTTTTCTCCCCTAACTCTGACTCCCTCCTACAACCAATTCTGAAATATATAGGGGTTTGCTTCAGTCAGGCAAGAGAGAAAGAAGGAATTGAGAAGACAGCCCAAAGGAGATTAGGAAGAAATTAAATCATACATATGTGTAGAGAAAGAGAAAGAGAAAGAGAAAGGAAAGGCCCTCAAGGATGGGCACATTTCCTCTTCCTCCCCCTCCTTTATCACACTTTTCTCCAGCCCTTTGCACCTGATTAAATCCAGTTTCTTTCTTATGTTTTGTTTCATCTTTTTCAGCTCAACAATGCCTTTCCCTAGGTGTTTAAAACCGTCAGGCCCTCCACACAGTGTTTGGCCTCCAGTTTCCTTCCTCCTTTGTTCTGTGAATATCATTAAATTCATCTGACTCTTGTGCCTGTGAGTATGATTAGATTTGCTCTTCCCTGCCTGGCTGCCTCTCTTCATCCTCCTCCTGGGGTGAACAAGAAAGTCTTCTCTCAGGTGGCGCCTCTTTTCCTTCTGTTCCCATTAAATGTTTTCTTTCCTGAAAAGAATAGAAGGAGGTCTGTTCATTGGTGGCTTTTCCAGGTCTTCTTTCACTGAGAGGTGAACTGCTGCTTTCAGGAACCCCAATTTTTGCCCATGATTAATCAGAAAATAGTCCTGGGAATCAAACTCAGCAGGGAGCTTGTTAGAAATGCAGCATCCCAGGTCCCACCCACCTCAGACCAAATGAGTCAAAACCTGAATTTTTAACAAGACACATAGGTGACTTGGGTGTGCTTTGAAGTTTGAGAAGTGTTGCTATAAGCCATAAAAATGTGGAGCACAGCCAATTGACTATGGACCTGAGAGGTCAGAACATTTTCCTGAAGAATGAGAGACATTTGAAAAAGAGCAGGTGGATCACTAATAGTCCAGAGGGCAATGGCTGGTGCAGTAGCACTAAAGGGAGCAGGGTACCTGGGAGTGCTAGGCTACTTTGTAGGCCTGAGCCTGATGAGAGAGGGTGCCATCTTCAAGCACAGCAGATTCAAGAGCTTTGCACCTGGAGCTCCCATCAGTACATAAACTTGGAAACATGCTTCTGGAAAGCTCAGGACCAGAGACCGTGGCAATGTACCTTGAATCACTCAAGAATGAACCAAGGTCTCTGTGGATCTGCTCCCTTGCTATCTGAGTTCCGTGCTGATAGAAAGTCACTGGAAAGTTATGGGTTGGGAATTTCATAGGATCTTCATGAAATCTTCTCTTTCTTCATCTGAGTTGGGCCAAGATCCGGATGTTTTCTCTGCCTCCCATGTTCTGTAGGATAATAAATGGACAACAAAACCTCCTCCGATTCTGCTTGCCATATGGTCTCTTTAGTATTTTAAGATCCCCCCCCCGCAAAAGGACCCTAGTTTACAGGTGGAAAGGGAGGAAAGGACTTTATACAGTGTAATTGTAACACTGATAATAATTATATCAGACACAAAAATTACCTTGAAGTATCAAAGAAAAAAAGCAAAATTGCTAAGTAAATTATCAGATGTTCATGTAAGATCATACTTAAAGCTATGTTTTTATTTGCCATATGGTAACTTATAAAATGAAGAAAGGGAGGGGGCATGGTAGTACACACCTGCAATCCCAGCACTGGAGAAGCTGAGGCAGGAGGATCTAAAGTTCAAGATCAGCCTGGGCTATAAAGCAAGGCCCTGTCAGAAAGGAGGGAAGAGAGGGAGGGAGGAAGGGAGAGAGGCAGGGAAAGGAAAGAAGGAAGTAAGGGGGTAAGGAAGGAAGAAGGGAAGGAAGGAAGTCATTTATAGTTTGTAAAACAAAAAATTACCATGTCTCAACTTCTAATCTTAGGGGAAATCTCTTCAAATAAAGGGTCCTTGAGCATTCCAGAATAAAAGCATTCTAGGTTCTATCACTGATTGAACATATAGTTTGTACACATAAACAAACACAGAATCCTCATTATCTTTTTGGTTTCCTTGTTGGGATAGCTGGGAATGAGGTCTCAGTTTCATGAGGATAAAGCAGACAGATTCTGGGATAAGACCCACTTCCCAGGTTATTCTTACAGGGACAAAGAAGAGCCTGGGGAGCTAAAAGAAAGGCACTCAGTTTTTGGAGGGTTTCAGTTCATCCATGCAGTGGTGGCATCGAGTCCCTACTCCAAATGGGGATCTGACCCTGCTGCCACCCCCATGGCATCCTTTCAACCAGCAGTTTCTCCACTCACTGGTTCCCACGAGCAGGAGAGACCTCATCTCCCAAGTTTCTAGGGCATACAAAATAAAGCATACTAGCATACAAAAAAAAAAGTGTGCCTATGCCCTGCCAGGCTGAGACTAAGTTCTACTGAGGGTTCCTGCATTGCCCAGGGTTTGGAGCCTGCTGATGACTAAGCTAAAGCAGAAATAGCACCGTCAGGGGACTGTCCCACAGTCACAAGGGAAAGACTATCTCAGAGGCAGAGATCTCCACTAAATGAACAACCAGAAATGTCTTCACCCCACATTGCTTTTATCAGAAGAGCTATGAGGTTGGTATTGATGTTGACTGTCCAAACTGGACCTCATAAAGGCTAAATATCAGAGCCTATCCCAAAGCCTAGACAGGTATTTTCAACCATGAGGGAAAGTTGTACTTGCTAAGCAGAGATTTCAAATACAGAGGACATGAAATCCATTTCATGTGGTAGTTCTTAAAAGTTTTATGAAGTTATTAGCTCGATGCATGAGGATGTGCATGGGAGACAGAAAATAAAAGTGAAAAGAATAAAAATAAGGCAGAAAGGGATCAATGGAATAAAGAGACAAAACATCCACAGCACAAGTGGAATTAAAAAGTAGATGTGCACACATTTGTTCTGCTGATTGATCATTTTAACCCATGAACTACACATGCAATGCCAATTCAGTTGTCAGGTACACAAGAACCACTCAATATCTGATGGAAGAGTCAATTGTTCCACCTCTAGGTACAAGCTGCTTTGAACAACTGCCATCACCAATTGCTGGTCTACATTCTAGAACCCTCCTTGGAAGAGGACAAAGTGGGTCTGGGTGCCTCTGTTTTCTACCATGTCCATTTTTCTATACAACCTTCCCCATGAATCTGAAGAATTGGAAGCAAAGAAAGGTTTATGCAAAGTTTAAAATAAGAGGGTACTTACATGGAGTACATCCATACTCAGCTGTTGAAAGTTCTGGGATCTCAATTCTTGCATCCGTTTGTTATTTTCTTCATACTTTTGTTCCACAATCTTTCTGCAAATTTAAAGTGAAAAATAACTGCAACTTATCTATATTATACAGATGAGTGAGAGACCCTTGTTTTAGCAGGCAGATGGTGGTGTTGGGAAGCCAGGCCATCAGGTCTCCTCCTCATGGATCAGTGTGCAATGCAGTACCCAGCTGATTCTCTTTTAAGCACACAGGAGGATGTTCAAGCTCCTTCTTCATACTTAGAAACCCTCAAGAGTATCAAGAGAGCACAGTACTAACCCCTGGGAATCCTGAATGTGATAATGAGGGTTACTGTCCAATGCCTAGCACATACTAAGAACTCAAAACTACTTTCAGAATGAAAAAACTCATACACAGGGAAAACAGAACCACGTATCAAATATTTTATGGGAAAGCACATGGGAGTTACAATGGAGGGAATTTTTCTGTAGATATATTTTCTTTGTTTCCTCTGCTATAGGAGAGTTGAGTTTAATAGATCTGCAACAAAATGGAAGATTAAGTAAATTATTACAATTAGTTAGGTGTTAATTTAAATATTTTGACAAGTCACTGGACATACATCTAGTCAAATTCTCGTGTCTATAAAACAGATATCTTACAACCCTTTGACAATAAAGCCATTTTCCAGCTAAAACATATGATCCCTCTTGAATCCTAGTAATTATCAAAATTCTAATGTAATACATTCATAAAATCAAAACAAGATTTTATGTAGAAACAACTGCCTGTAAATACAAAATATTAGTGTAGCAGGTGGAAGATTTATGACTTACTTTTGTCTACAAAAATAGTTTTGATTTGAATAATAACTTATGCATATAAATTATTAAATATTCCCTTTTAATCTATTCCTATCAGATTTAATTTTCCTTTTACCCTTAACCAATGACACGAATCATGGTACCTTAAAGATATTAACACTTTTGTAAGTGCTAGAAACAGAGTTAGGGCTATTAGTTGATGCAGTGGTTCAGCAGTTTATGTGAATATATTTTCTCAGTAAAACTCACACTCAATATTACAGTATTTACAGAAACAAACCTCTATTGGTTTCCGAGATCAGATAGTGTATATTTACCATTCCAGCTGAACATTTAGGATAACACATTAATAGTTTAAAATTGTCCATGATGGGAATATTTATACCACAGATATCAGCAAACAAATCAGCTACCTCCAAACCCAGAGATGCTTATTAAACATTTATCAACATGGCACTGCCCATGACGCACCATACAGCATGGTGTTTTTTATATGCATGCCTTGTGAAGTGATTAGAGCAAGTAGTTAACATAGCCATCACTGCATATTCTTACTATTTTTTTGTGGTGAGAACATTCAAGGTCTACTTTCTTAGCAATTTCAAATAAACGATGCCTTGTTTTTCGTCACTATGTACTCCAGAACTCTAGGGCATATTCCTCCTGTCTAACTGAAACTTTGTACCTTTAGTCTAGCATCTCATCTGTGCTCCCATCCCTGGTAACCACCACTCTGCTCTCCAATTCCAGGAGTTCCATATTTACATTCCACATGTGAATGAGATCATGCAGCCTTATCTTTCAATGCCTGGTTTACTTCACTTAAGTGTCCTCCATGTTCATCTATATTGCTGCAAATGAAGGGATTTTCTTCTTTTTAAGACTAAATAGAATTCCAGAGTGTGTGTGTGTGGGGGTGTATCTCACATCTTCTTTGATGGATGCTTATATTTTGCTACTGTAAATAATGCTACAATGAACATGGTTGCGCATCTACCTCTTCAACATGCTGATATCAGTTCCTTTGGATGTAAGCCCAGAAAGTATGACTTCCAAGTCATATGAAGGTCTAGTTTCAATTTTTTTTGAGCAAACTCTATACTGTTTTCCATAATGGCTTCACCAATTTACATTTCCAGCAGCAGTGTACAAGTATTCCCTTTTCTCCATACCCTGGCCAATGCTTGAAATTACAGTTTTTCATATAAAAACTACTTACTAGTGGAATCCTCCACCTGCAGCATTGCCCTGAGCATACAGTTTTCCAAGGGTTTCATTGACAGAACAGAGCTGTGTCCACTTGACCTCCTTCTGAAAGCTAACAATTTCCTGCCAGCAAATTCTCCCCTCCCTACAGATCTCTAGGTTGCCTGGTAGAGGGGATAGCAAGCACCTGGGAAATGACAATGAAATAAGGAAGCTGTCTTTTCAGTTTCTTATTAGGTTACATACAGAAGGTGCAGCAACAAAGGGGTTCCATTTAGAGACTGACCCTGTTTTCATCACTAATAATTTCGTGAATTTTCAGTCTTTCCCTTTACACAAGACTGAAAGCCTGATATAAATAGTACCTGACAACCAATCTATGGCTCGGTAATCATCCCTTGAGTGAAGGAGTGAATGAATAAACAAACATATAATCCTATGCATTTGGTTTCTTGTTTGGGTTTTTGCTTTTCTTCCTTGAATTCCTTGAAAGCCCTGTGAAATAGTGCACGCCATGAGGTGCCCAATGGAAAGGAGGCTTACTTCAGCTTCTGGGCTTTCTCATCAGCCTCCTGGAGCTTCCTCAGCCGCATTCTCTCTCTTGGCGTCATTTTCTGCACTTCAGACAGTGCCTGCAGAGTCTGCAGGTGGATCTTTTTTTGCCTATAAATAACAAAGGTTCCCCATATGCAACCCATCCAAAACATGCTCAGAAAAATTAGACAAATATTTTACAGAGTATCATTACACTGCTGAGACAGCAATAGCATCTTGGGACGGGCCAGGCAAAAACTAATAAACTCTGGGTAGGTAACGAGCCAACCAGGACTGTAGTTAATCAGCAATAGTTTGTTTCAAATTATATTTTTGTTTAAAAGCAAATTATGTACTTTCCAAACTCCTGCTCATTTCATTGCCAATGACTGGTTTTCCATAATATAAGGCAAATTAGGATCTTGGCTATTAGAAAGTAAATGGACCAGCAAGTGATTCAACCATGAGGATAAGGACAGATACAATCTTTGGATAGGCAGAGTACTATCCAAAATGAGTGCTCCCACTACTCATTAGCTCTGTGACCTTGGCCAAGAAAGTGAACCTCAGTTTTCTCATCTATAAAGAATGGCCATGGTATAAAGTAATGCATGCACAATGTCTAATACATTAAAAATTATTCCAAATGGTAGTATTTCCACAACTAAATCTCACTGAATGTCTACTATTTTAACCTTACTACAATAAATATTTTATGGCAGCATGGTATAGCAGTTAATCATGAGGTTAATAATACTTTCTGAGTTCAAATCCTAGCTCTCAGGTTATATGTCCTTGGACGAGTTAATTAAACTCTCCACAATTATAAAAAATTATAGTACCTACTTCATTGGGGTGCTCTGCATTTAAATGAGTTAATTCATGAAAAATGATTGGAACAGAGCCAAGTACATGGTCATTAATCCCCCAAATTAGGCAGCATTATTACATAAGAACCTCTTTTTCAGTTAAGGAAACATGTTCACCCTGACCAAGTATTAAAAGGTGTGTCACAACACTTTCAATGACAATTGCTTCTGTTAGGGCCCAATATTGCACAATGCCTTTTGTACTCAACTCTTTCCTTAAACATTTATGAGAAAAACTGTCACAGTCAGCTCTCATATCTCTGGAACATCATCCAAACCAAATCTTCTAAGAGGTGCACAAATTTTCAGGAATAGATATATCTCATATTTTGTAAGACTAAACAGATCTCCTTACAACATAGCCACAGATCTTGAAAATAAGAATGACTAATTGAAACCAATATTTCTTAATGTGAAATACCCACAAACAACTGGATTCTAGCACACTATTAAGTATACATAGTGTCAGACAAACTGTTTCACAATCAAAATGAAAAATGATAACTAAAATTAGTTCAATACTTTTTAAAGATATCCTCTACTGTCACAGCTCTAGTTTCTAAAACAACCAACCTTTCTTAAAAAAATCACCCAAGTAAACAAGAAAAAAGTAGCACAAGAAAACAAGGCTATTAGGAGCATGTCCACAAATTTACTCCCATAGGACATAATGAACTTGAATTGCAGATCATACATTATGATCTTTGATATTTCTGATGGACCAGTTTCCTTGGTTTGAATGTGAGGGTGGAAACAAGCACGGGGAAGCCAGGAAACCATGGAGCTGGGTGTTAGAGGAGTCTATGAGGCTATTAGGCCTTGAACACCAGTCTATCAAGTGTCCCTGTTGTCGCTCCACTGCCTTGCCCATCTCTAGGGAGGGACTGCTATTGTCTTTGCTCATTTTCAATGTCCCAGGACCTCACAACATTCTCCTTCCATAGATACTCTGGCCAGTTAAACAAATGACATATGAAAGCCATTTGTGCTTATGATGGAAGGCTCATTAGCACAAGTACTACTAAGTGTTTGAGATATTCATTTCTCTATACACTTACAAGGCAACTGCAGAGCTGCCCTGCAGATCTATAAGCTGTGCAGTGGTTTAAACTTTTATGATTTCAATTTGCTACCACCTGGGGCAAACGACTTTGGAACGCCACATTACTGAAGCTTAATCTTGGCAAGAATTAAGTGAATCCTACAATGCTGCATGCAGTCAGCTTAGGTCTAATAGGTATTTTTAAGACTGATGCACTAACATTTACACTGGATGGACTTAAAAAAAAAAAGCAGTTACTTACATGGCATTAACTATATGAGCAGCCTCCTTTTGATAATTCAAATTCTTGTCTTCTAGAGTCATTTCTGAATATCTACACATCAGGTGCTGAAAAGAATAACAACCCTGTCAAACCTGAAAGGTCCCTCTTTAGCAGTGGATGGGCATAAAACTACTGAGTGCTCTTTCTGCTTTGGAGTGTTACTGGCCATGGCTGGGAGCTTGCAAACAAACTCGCAGATAACTTTTTCTCTCTTTAAAGGGTTACATCAAATGACTTGCCAAAATTACATGGTAAAATTACACTGACAGACACTTTTCTCACCCCACTGCTTTGCATACCTCTGGGGAGGGACTGCTATTGTCTTCTGACAAGAAGATTAAATAGAGATTAAATAGAGCTCCTTCAGCAAAATTATAGCTTTAGTCTTTAAAATCAGTGTCCCTCAGAGTTGTGCACGGTTGTACATCACTGTTCTGAAGTTAGCTAGTATTCTGGGCTCTTGCAAGTTACATCTCCAAGAACACACAGATTTTTCCCACCTTTCAGCCTGTAATGGACAATGTCAACAGTCCCTTGGACCAGGTACAAAATCTAAGGGGACAACAAAAAACTCAGTAGCCAACATAAGTAATACCTGAACCTAGTATAATTTTTAAAAACTCAAAATTAATGCCAAAAAGCCATGAAAAAAGGGGCTTGGCATGGTGGTTAATGACTGTCATTCCAATTACTCAGGAAATAGAAGTAGGAGGATCATAATCCAAGGCTGGCCCAAACAAAATTGCTAGACCCTATCTGAAAAACAAACTAAAAGCAAAACTACTTGGGCATGGCTCAAGTGGCAGAGCACTTGAGTGTGAGGTCCTGAGTTCAACTCCCAGTACTGCCAAAAAAAAAAAAAAATCCATGAAGAATCAAAAGTTTAAATAAAGACAGGGTCCAATCAAGAACTTCCACAATTCTTGTTTACTTGCTTTGTCCTAATCCTGGTCCTGTTGGAGCCTATTTTTAAATTTTTGATGTTTCGTTACCGGGGATTATCAACATTAATTTGGATATTTAAAATAATATTGATTATAAGTTTTTGATGTCCCCTTAAATTTTTCAGAAGACCAAGTGCCTCACTTGCCTCATACCCTTGGGACCTTGTTTTTTTTTTTTTTTTTTTTTCTACATTCACAGTTCACTCTTTCGTTTGTTTTGTTTTGTGCATTCAGAGCCTTTTCAGACCTTCGGTGTGTTTCTGATCACAACAGCTAGCACCTATGTCCCTTTCTCAGAGGACAAACCTTAGGCTGCTGGAGCCTGCTGTGCTTGCACATAGGGAAAACTAGAAGTCAAGGGAGACTTAAGGCTGCCTCTCCATCCCATCTTGCTTTCCCCATGCCCTCCTCGGCTTCCCCTGGGAGCATGTGCCTATACAGCACCTTCCCCTCCAGGTAACCTGGCCTAACTCAGGGCCTTGTACCACCCATTCCTTGGGATTCCAACACTGTTTCTTAGGTCCTTTACGTAGGCTCAATGACATTGAAATGGAACCTGGTCTTTCTTTGACCTCCCTTTCCTTACTTTTACAGTTTCCTCTTTACTTTCATCCCAGTGTTTTTGATTTTTTTCTCTTTTATACCTACTTTTTCCTGGCTATTGGGTTATCTCACTAGCAGTCAAACTTCAAAAGAACAGGAATTGGGCCTGTCCCATGCTGTCCTTTTGGCTTCCCCAGGGCCAGCACAGTGCCTGGCACTAATGAAGGAGAACACAGCAGCAGCATCCTTGCTTCCTTTGCACTCAGAAGTTGGCTACTGATGAAAAGGCAGCTTGTTTTAGAAAGTAGCTGACTGCCTTGTGGTTCCTATTAAAGCTATTCATAAAATCAGAAATTCACCTGAGGAACTAGAATAGCAAAAGCCTGAGAAGATGTGAAAAGAAAGAAAACAAGCCCTCTGTAGAGAGGAGTATTTTCTTCCTTCTTACCACCTGAGGCAGATCTTCTATGTTAAAAACTTTTATCCAAAGGAACATAAAAGTAAGTTCACCTAATCAATAACAAGTTTTATTGAACTATATAATAAAGGAGGGAAAAATGCTAAATGAAGACCCCAGGTCTTAGAATTGCTATTGGTACATTCTTGAGCTAGCAAGGATGTATTTCTAAAGTGTTGAGGTAAGCTCTATCAACCATAAGGGTACACACTGGGTTGAGGCAGAAAGTCAGAGCCCTAACTTCCCATTTCCTTCCAGTGGCGCCAGGGAACCAGAGTTCTTATATTCTCTTTTGCAGAGATTGTACTAAGGTTTCTCTCAGCTTCGTTTAATTCTGCCCCTTCTTTCTGATGGATTCTCCATACATCTCACTCCCACAGCATAGCCTCAAGTCACACACTGTATACATAAATACCTTTGTTCCAGGATCACTCTCATTTTAAATACCTGTAGTTGTTTGTCAATGTAAGGGATTTTTAATATTTCTATAGCAGATGGTCTCAATGAAGGGTTCTTGTTCAACATGCTGTAATGTTCAAAGAGAAAATTATTTTCCAAATGAAGTAAAACATAAATTATTTTAAATGCAATAACATAATTTAAAATTGTTTCTGTGGCGACAGATTTAGTACCTTACCTTTTCATGATAGTGTTTAATTCTCTTGAATATCTCACAGGAAGTGAAGGCGTGTCACCTTCGACAATTTTTAAAACAATGGACAAGAAATTGGAGCCAGTGAATGCCTGCTTCATGCAACACATCTCATACAGCACGCATGCCAGTGACCTGCAGACAAAAGTCAAATAATGCCCTATTTTATATGTGTACAAAATCTCAGAGGTAATGGGGCACTGACAAGGCACTAGTACACATTTCAGTTGTTTGTTTAAAAACTGCAGTTTCATATTCTTCTTGTCCATTTAAATACATGTTTACCAACACACACACACACACACACACATGACCGTTTTTTCCAAAGGAGAATAAAGAAACCAATAGTCAGCAAGATGTCTATACATAGTAAGGACTCTAAATATTTGATCAATGTAGTAAGAAAATTTTTTATTATCCTCTGTGAGGGAAAAGAAAATGAAGCTAAATATTGTCTTTCTAAGGCTGTTTTGGTAATGTTATATATGCAAAATAAAATTTTAATTTATTAGTCTAACCTTCCCTCTACTGTGTATCCATGCATTTTGAAAAGGAAACTGGCATTATTTATCTAGTTTTCTGAATATAATCCATTTACAAGTAGGGTGAGAGAGAAGCTACTTGCAGCTCGCATTAAAATGTATAATTCTCCCTTAGGGAATATGCAACAGAAGACTAAAATTCTAGATCAATTTTTTAATCCAATTTGCATGGATTAGCCATGCAAATCAGTAACCTCTAAGCCAGCAGAAAAGTCTTTTTAATAGTTATACATCATAAACAAAGCTAAGGAGTAAATTCCTCCCTGAATTTAGTTTTAAAAAATAACTGTACTCCTAAATCATGGACTATTTTTATCATATTGGCATTATGAATTATGTAACCAGCCAGGTTTTTTATTCTTGCTAATTGTTTAAAAGATTAGAAATAAATTTACAATGTGATATTTTATGTAACTTTTAACACTGTATTTAACACAAGGAAGGGTATATGTAAATATAAACACCATAATTTATTTTGTGGTTGCTCATGAAAAGGCACATATATGAGGGAATTCTAGATAAATACTTGTGTAAAGTGGCTGGTACTTTACATTTTACAGAGCACTTTCATATATATGAAACTCAAAGTTTCTCAGTGAAATACAGCTAATATTATATATTCTGCATTTTATCCATAAGGAAATTGCCTCAGAGGTAGGAGGTGGAGGATATGGCTGTTGAATTAAGGCATTTTTCTTTCCAAATCCCACATCATTTCAAATTAGAAAGAAGCGTGTTAAAGGAAAAATCACATAACATCAACTAGAACACCAAGGTCAATGTAAACATTATAAATTACAAAAATTATCTGAAGCTCAATATAGTTTGCCTCCATCTTTTAAGACTACGAAACAGTATCTGATATGGTAAAACATACTTAGATTTTTATATCCAGAAAAAATTCCTTCAAATAAGTATAAAGTAATGACATTTTTAAACAAACAAAAGCAGATAGTTCATTGCCAGAGAAAAGCATACATAGACAAAAAATCCTCAAAGGGAGTTCATCTAGTAAATAAAAAATGACCCCAAACAGAAACAAGGAGTGCAAGAAGAAATAAAGAATATCAAAAAGCTTATTTTATGAGTATGTATAAATGGATATTTACTCAATGAAATAATATTGACATTATCTTGTGGGATTTAAAATGTACAAAATAAAAGTTTATGACAAAAAAATGCAAAAGACAGAGTAAGGTCCCTGCATTACTAAAAAAGTGGTTGTAGTTATAATTTTTACTCAACAGTAGTAAGTTCAGAGTACATGTTACATTCCCTAGAGTTATCATCAAAAGAATAGTAAAATAATGTATAACTTGTCTATAACAAGTTACTAGAGGGAAAAAATTGAATTACAAAAATTTGAAACAAAAGGAAGAAGGAGAGAAAATGAACACAAAAGAAGTAGGACATATTTTTATATGGGGAGCTCAAAAAACTAAATTCCCAAAAAACTAATGACCCAATGAAGAAAAGGGCAAATGAGTCACACAGAGCTTTTACAAAGGCAGAAGTCCAAATGAACAAAAAACACATGAAGAAATGCTCAACATTCCTGGCCATAAAGGAAATGCAAATCAAAAACACATTAAGATTCCACCTCACTCCTGTTAGAATGGCTATCATCAAGAAAACAAACAACAACAAATGTTGGCAAGGAAAAGGAACCCTCATACACTGTTGGTGGAAATGTAAATTGTTACAATCACTATAGAAAACACAATATGGAGGCTCCTCAGAAAACTAAAAAAGAACACCATATGATCGAGCAATACCACTCCTAGGGATATACCCAAAAAAAAAAAAATGTAAGTCAGGTTACAATAAAGACACTTGCACACCCATGTTTGCAGCATTATTCACAATAGCTAAGCTATGGAAACAGTCAAGATGTCTACTACTGATGATAGATTAAGAAAATGTGATATATATACACAATGGAGTTTTATTCAGCCATCAGAAAGAATGAAATCATGCGGTTTGAAGGTAAATGGATAGAATTTGAGGACATCATGTTAAGTGAAATAGGCCAGGCCCAGAAAGACAAAAAGGATGCATGACTTCTCTCACATGTGAGACAGACACAATGCAAATACAAGCAATATTATGAAAAACAAGTTATACTAAGGGGACGCTGCATTCAAGAGAGGGAGGGCAAAAGAAGGAAGTTAAGAAGGTGAATATGGTTGATGTACTTTCTATGTAAGAATGAATATAGAATTTTTAAACCTGTTGAAATCACCATACGAAGGCAACTAAGGTTGAAAGGAGAAAAAATAGATGAGATGAATCAATTTGGGTTATATTACATATGCACATGGAAATGTTACAATGAAACTCCCTATATAGCTATCCCAAACAAACAAAAATTTTTTTTTTTTTTTGAAAAGCAGAGAACAGGAGGGGAAAACAAGCCCTGTCTGGACCTGTGGGAGGGGAGAGGATATAAGGAAAGTCTGAAGGAGAATGAATGTACTGGAAATATTATGTACTCATGAATAAAAATGGAACTATTTTGAAACTATTCCAGGAATGTGGGGAAAGGGAGATAAAAGAAAATGATGGAAGGGGTGAATGTAACTATGATACACTGTAAGAACTTTCATAAATATCACAATGTACCCCCAATCCAACGATAATATGATAATAAGAAAATGAAATAAAATAAAATTAAACAAAACTGGGAAGGGGGAAAACTGAAGTGGGACATTTTGGAATTATATTGATATTAATGGTATCTTTATGAAGTAATTATTTAAGATATATATATATTATATATGCATATGTATAACTAAAAAGTCAAAACTAAAGTGATTCTCAAAAAAAGACATATTTTTAAAGATATTATAAATGAATTAAAATAACAAGCTGACAAATAAAAATATAAATATAATTATATTAAATGTAAAGGTATAACAGTCCAATTTAAAAGACTAAGATTATCAAACTGGATTTTTAAGAAACATATGCTGCTCATAAAACAAACTTTAAATATAAGCACACAAGAACATTGAAAAAGTCACACCATGCGAACACTTACTAAATATTGCTAGTATGGTTATATGAGTAGCAGACAAAGTAGACTTTAAGGCAAGAATACTACTAAGATGATGGACTGATAAAGAAATTAGACCCTCAGGAACATATAGCAATTCTAAATTTGTATACACTCAATAACGATGTGTGCGTGTGTGTGTGTGTGTAAGTGTGTAGAGAGGAAACAAATTCTCAATCATGGTGATTCATAATCACATCTCTTTCAATAGCTGACAGAACAAGCAGACATAAAAATTAATAAGGAAAGAGAAAATACATACACCACAATTGCCAACATTGACAAATTAGCATAGAAGCACCAAACAATGACAAAATTAAAAATCCTACAAAGGACACCTGGAATACTTACCAAAACTGACTGCACATGGGTTCATAAAACACGCTTCAACGGATATCAAGGATCAAAATCTTGAGAGCATATCCTCTGACCACAGAGAAAGTGAGGTAGACATGAATAACAGAGAAATAGCAAGAGGGGAGGTGGGAAACCTAGCCTCCAACTGCTTGGAAACTAAGGGACCCACATCTAAATAATCCTTAGGTTAAACAGAAATCACAATAAAATTAGAAGATATTTAAACTGAATGCTAATGAAAGTACAAAAAAGCTACACACTGGAGGCAGATAAGGTAAACAAAGCAAAACTGAAAGCATTAAATGCAGATATTGCAAAGAGAAAAAGGCTTCAATCTATGTTCTAAATCAACTTCTCAATTTAAAAAAAGAATAGCAAATGACACCCAAGGAATGTAATTTTTAAAAAGACAAGAAATTAATAAAATCAAAGCAGACTATGAAAATAATCAGTAAAGAACTAAAAATTCAATAGACCTCTAGTAAGAGCGATAAAAAAACAAACAAAGCCCCCAGATTAATAGTAGGAGGGCTGGCAGAGTGATTTAAGTGTTAGGGTGCCTGCCTAGCAAGTGTGAGGTCCTGAGTTCAAATCCCAACACCAACAGAAAAAAAAGCCAACACTAGAATGGAAAAAGGTGCTATGGACCCCACAGGTCATGATTTAGAAAGTACTATTGATGCCATTGCAAATATATTTTCCTTTAATAAATTTTTATAATTTGGGTTAAATGAAATTTACCAACTGACACAAGAAGCAACATGAGACATGCAATTATTTAAAATAACAAAATTAAAATGTTTTCTACAAGGAAAATTCTAGGACCAGGACTTTGC